AAACTGTTTAAATGAAGCTCCTTGGGACACCTGGGTGCTCATCGGTTGGGTGTCTGACTCTTGATTTCAGCTCAGATCATGATCTCAGGGTCCTGAGATGGAGCCCTGTGTTGGGATCCATGCTGGGCATGCAGCCTGCTTGAGATTCTCTCTCTCTCTCTCTCTCTCAAATAAATAAATTTTTAAAAATCTTTTAAAGAAAACAAATGTAGCTCCTTTATTAATGGCCCTGAATTTAAAAAGTTACCTACCCCTGATTTAAGAAATTTCATTAAACAGAATGATTTAATAACACCGTAGCTGTGCTATGCTCAATTCCTAACAAATACCTGTTTATCTGTTTTACTTGGGAAAGTAGCTGTTCTAGAAAGCTACATTTTTCAGACAAAATCTGGCCCCCTTATACCCTAATTAAAAAAAAAAAAAAAAAACAGCTATGATGTGGCTTTTTTAAAATGAAATCCATAATTCCTATATTTTAATCAGAGAATGCTGAACACAATTTAAAATTCTCTCGATGACTTATAGTCATCATTGTGTTACCCAGTCATGAGCTTAGAGGCATTTTGTCCCAAGACTGCTGTGCTTCGAATTCTTGTGTCTGCTTTTCATGACTTTCTCCTTCACTGTTGACTGTCAAATAATAATGATGATAAAAACAAGAACACTAATGATGTTCCAAGCACTGTCCTAAGTAGTGATGCGTATTAGCTCACTTAATTCTTGCAAGGTAGGTGCTTTTATTATCCTCATTGTGCAGATCAGGAAATAGGTTCCTGCAGTTAAGAGCCTCGCCTGAGGCCCCTCAGTAGTAAGAGATGGGCTGTCATCTGAACCCAGTGGCCTGACCACCACGCCTGAGCTCACAGTCGCCACGCGCCACTTCTGCGTCCCTGCCCACGGAAATCCCTCTCTCCACTTCTAATCTCCTTCCTTAAATCTGTCACAGGGTAAGACCACCAAGGTTATTTGAACTCTGTGTAAAGAATAAGTAGGAGATGGGATGGGAGTATTGGGGAGAAGACAGCTAAAAATTACAGGGTTTCTTTTGGGGGTGATAAAAATGCTCTAAAGTTGATTGTGGTGATGGTTGCCTAAGTCTGCAAATATAATAAAACAATTGAATTGTACACGTTAAATGGGTAGATTGTACGGTATCTGAATTATATCTCAATAAAGCTGTTTAAAAGGAAGAAACAGGAGAGCTGGGGAGCACTAAGGTACATTTTGGTTGCACATTCTTCATGTTGCCATCAATGTGGCCCTAAGTTGCAACTTTGTACTTTAGTAGAGTGGGTGAGCTCTGGCTAGCGAGGATGATAGGATTCAATGCGGACAAAGGGATAGCTTCTGGGTACCTCTCAGCTTCTCCTGTCTTCCTTTCTCTGCCCCCTAACTTTGATTCCATAGATTGTCCGCCCCACCATCACACCTTGACCTGCCCCCAAGTCCCATCCGAGACCTGGGACTCCCAACAGAATCCCAGTGTCATCTTCCTAAGGAAGCAGGGCCCTGTGGCAAGCTGTCCCTGCTGGTCTCCTCATCCAGTCTAGCCTGCAAAACGAGAGCTTCTCTGAGCAGCCTGGAACATTGGCTCCCTGGCGTCGGTCCCCATCCTAGAAGGGTGATGTCCGAGCCCAGCTCAGCTCTTAGAGTTGCTGGCAACCTGGACACCCAGCCTCCATGCTGCAGCTGCTCATCTTTCCTATTCACCATCCAGTTTTTCTTCTTTTTATAAGAAGCTGGTTTACTTCCTGGTTTTAGTTTATGCCTTTACATGAGACTTAACAATAGTCTGTGCCTTTCTTTTTTTTTTTTTTTTAATAAGGGAGAAAAAGGCAATGGTTGTAAAGAAAGGCCCTCTCCAAGCGCCAGGAATATTCAGGCTTGTCAGAGGAGCCAGGATGAGGAAGGGCTTTGTCCAAACTGGATGCCCTTTCTCATGTCACAGTTTGAAACACAGACCCGCAGACTCCGGGCATCTGGAGATGTGCTGCTGGCTCCGGGCCTGTGGGCTCCTTGCAGGACAGCTCCACATCACTGTTTATATTCCAGAATGTCAGGGAGGAGCGAGAAATAAAGAGGAAGCTGGGGAGAGGGTTCCTCCAGGGACTGCTCACATCTGAATATTTGCATAATGGTGCCTCTACTGAGCAGCGAAGCGGAAAGACAGATTAGGGACGTGCAGCTCTGGACAACACTGGGACTTCCCGCAGGTAAGTCCAGGGACCAGTCTGTCCTTTGGCAGAAAACCAGTGGGCAGTAAGGAGCTTTGGCCCAGCTGCTTTTCCTTTCATTCAAAAGCCAGCAATTATACCCTGGCAAGCAGCACCCGGTGTCATTCCAGCATCTGCGGGTAGCACCAAAGACTCCACCCCTGGCCGGAGATGGAATAGCCTGGTGATCAAAGTTGGGGTTCTAGATTCAAAAGACATGGGTTCTAGTCCCTGCTCTGTCACTTCCTCACTATGCATCCTCGTGCAGGCTAATTTAACCTCTCTGAGCCCTAGATTCCTAATCTGCAAAATGGAAGTCAATAAGAATATCCAACTAATCAGCTTAATGTGGGGAGTAAAGAAGGCAAGCAGCCCAGCACTGAGCGGGTGGCGAGCATCTGCTGCACCTGTCTCCTCGGCAGGGAGTCGGGCAAACCGGGAACAGGGACATGGGGCTTCCTGTGACCCAGGCACTGTCCTAAGCCCTTCCCATGTCAATTCCCTCATTCCTCACAACACCCCACAAAAGTAGCTACTGTTACCATCCCTGCTTTTTAGGCGAAGAAGAGACTGGGGCACAGAGGAGTTTTCCTAATTTTCCAAGGTCATAGAACATTCTAGTGGTGGCAGAACACAGCGGTCCGGAGAGCTGTAGCCACTCTGATGTAGTATCTGCATCTATGAAGGAACAGGACATCTTTTCTCTGCCACACATCCACTGCTCATCACCACGGGCTAAGTCCTGGGCTGGATCCTGGGGATAAGGTGGGAACCAGAGGCAGATCTCAAGGAGCTTCCAGAGAGATGCAAACTGAGACCACCAATCCTAGCAAGGAGGGACAGAACATGATTTCTGGAGAGGAGCCTACAGAAGAGTTTCTGGAAACCATGGAGCACCATGTGGACTAAGAGTAAGAAGGTTTCCATTTTGCTGTTAGGCTGGGCATTGATAAGAAGAGAACAACCTCTTTTTGCAGACGTCAGGCCCAGCATCACCCTGTAATGGAAAGTGGCCTCAGAAACGCACTATTCCTAATAACAAAAAATGCCAGGACTTCTTCTCTTCTCATTATCAAGGGTCTAAAATGCACGATTCATAGGACACAGAGGGCCCTGCACACCATTCAGTTCATAAAGCCAGCCCTCTGTTGGGCCAGTGCAGGGTGGAGGAGGGTCTCCACAGTCCTGCTCTTCTTGACCCTCCAGGGATGAGCATACCGCAGGGCCGACAGCCACTCCCCCTCACCTAACACTGGCTGGCACTCACAGCTGACAGACGGCACACTCTAACCCTTCACTTAGGGGGCTCAGAGCCCCTCAGAGGAAGGAAAGCATTTCTTTTGGATGGTGAAGTTCTGTTCTTGCCTTTATACCAGTACTTGACTTTTTACTTCTTTCCCAAAACATTAAGGAAATACTGAAATTCTAGACTACCAGAAAGCAAAGGGCTTCCCTTTAAAAATAAGGCGGTATCTTAGGAAGGACCTGATTGCTGATGAGGTCACAGATAGGGCTCAAGCTCCACTATGTTAGTTAGCTCTGAGGTCTGCAGTGTGCTGGCTGGGCAGGCACCGAGCTAAAGCCCCACTAGACACTTTCTCAGAGCTCTTTTCTTCTTTAATTCCACTCTCCTGGGTGAGATAAACTGAAATGATGAGGACTTCACATTGCCCTTGTACTAAGATCCAAACTTCTTATCAGGGAGCCCAAGGCCAGTCTGACCTGAGTCCTGACCTGAGTCCTGACCCTCCCTCCAGCCTGTGGTTCCTCCCTCCCTCTCTCTCTCTCTCCCTCCTTCAACTCCTTATTCATCCACGACATAGCACCCATGCTGGTCCTGTGCGTCCTCAGATCCACTCCTCATCTTCCCCTGTGTTTCCAGCTTTGTGTCAGCTGGTTTCTGGCTAGGTTTGGCCAATGGCAACCACTGGGAGAAACTGGAAGGTGCCAGAAGGATTAAAGCCAGGTATCTCCTGCTTCCATCTCTGCCTTAGAAGCATCTCTGCAGCCGTGGCCTCTCCTCCTTGGCTCGTCTTCCACTGAAAAGGCCACCATGGTTCCAACTTCCCCACCCCGGGCACCGTGCGTCAGCAACACCACCTCTTCCCATCATCCCTCCAGCCTAGAGTGGTAGCTGATTCCTACTGCCTCTAGTCTCTGTCCTCTGCTTGTCTTCTCGGTTCTCTACCACCTCGGTAACCATTCCCTGCATTAAAATCCTATTTGCAGTACTTACGTGGCTCCTGTTTTTTTCTGGTTCAACCCTCACTGATACAGGTCTTATCAGAACTTGTCTTGTTTTATCTAATTTGTCCTGTTACTTAACTATGGTCTAGACCAACTAACTGTAAGCTCTACAGGGCAGGGACTATATCTATTTTGTTCATTAGTGATCCTCAGTGCATGGTACAGCACCTGGCATATAGTGAATGGATTTATTTAATAATGCCAAGTACTTGTCAAGTGATGAAAAGAAGTAAAATTGGTGTTTCCCAAGAAATCCTCAAATTTCCAATAAGAACATGGAAATATCATTTGCAAATGGTGTGTGTTTATGCACACGATTTGTTATTCAAACGGCAGCGGAGAAAAAGTGGGTTTTGATCTTTTCAACCAAACACAGGCACCGAGAAATCCTTCAAGAAGTAAGCGGTCAATTAAGTGGTCTTGGTTAAGAAACAAACTCAGGTCCTAGGGACAGGCCAGCTTATCTCAGGACACATACCCACAGCCCGCCTGGGCCTGCACAAGTGTGCACACATGACCTGGGTGCTGGGGACAAACCTTTTCGCCGTCTCCACAGACTTCTGCTCCTCCAGCTCCTTTTGCAGCTCCCTCTCCTTGGCCTCCTTCTGCCCGATGGGGCAGTCCTCAGGGACTGTGAAAAGGGACAGGGCATCTTTGCTGTCCTCTTCCCGGAGCACTTTAGCAAACACCTTCTCCGCCAGGAGCCGGACTTGCTCATCCACCTCAGAGATGTTCAACTTGGGAAACTGGCGTGGCATCTCGGCTAGGAGAAAAAGAGCAAGTGTTAACCTTCCTGATTTCCTGGATGGCCTGAGTCAGCGGGCTGGGGGAGGAGAAGTTACTAAAATAAGGGCCTGGCCCTTGGGGTCAGCTGTCTTGCTCAGGAATTCCCCAGAACAAACCCAGCAGGCCAATTTTAAAAACTAGCTCCAAGGGGCACCTGGGTGGCGCGGTCAGTTGAGCTTCCGAGTCTTGGTTTCAGCTCAGGTCATGATTTCGGGGTCTTGAGATGGAGCCCCGCGTTGGGCTCTGCGCTTAGCATGGAGTCTGCTTAAGATTCTCTCCCTCTCCCTCTGCCCCTCCCCCCTGCCCCCTGCTCTCTAGCTCTCTCTATCAAATAAATAAATAAATCTAAAAAAAAAAAAAACTAGCTTCATACGTCATTGGATGTGAAGAGCATAGCGCCACTCACATTTCACGAGAAAGCAAACGTTCAGAAGTCCAAGAATGAATTGTCTAACTATGTGTGCTTCTTTTTTCCAGAACTCAGGGAACCCGCAGCACATGGGCAGTTCCACCTTTCCTGGCTTTGTTTCCATGACGAGGAAGGAAGAGGAGAGTTTAAGCCCCCTTCCTGCAGACTACCCAGAGGCCATCTGGGTATAGCAATGACCAAACCTCACTCCCCACTGCACAGAGGGGAGGACTAAAGCCCAAAAGTCTAGTGACTAGCCTAAGGTCCCACAAGATGAGAGCTGGGGAATCCAAAGCTTCATTCTTCCTCACATAAAACAAGGCCTTTTTCTGAAAAGAAGGAGTCTACCATCATGGTTCTACCATCTCGCAGACTTTCTGGAACTTTTAACAAGACACAGCAAATAAAAGAAAGGTTTAGAGGCAGAGATACTCCTTAACTTTCACAGCCCAGCTGAAAACTTACTTCCTCAAAGAAGCTTGCCCTATCACCTCTCCTCAAACTGCTTCCTTACTATCAGTAGCTGGCCTAAATTACCTGGTTGGTTCCTTTCTTTTCTTTCTGTCAGTCTGTCTTTCTTTCAACATTTATATAAGATTTATTAAGTACACTCTGCCAAGCCCTTTCTACTTATGTGAATATTCACATTTTACAGATGAGAAAGTAAAGGCACAGAGAGCTAACGTGCCCGGGTCACACTTTTATTAAGTGGGCAGAGACTTGTGCTGTTCTCAGCCTTTGCCCCCCACCCCGCCCCTTTCCTCTATGAGCCTCTGCTCAAGAATTTGAACCCACAGACCTGGTTCCCATGTCTGTCTTCTTAACCACTGCACCGTGGTGCTCCTCTTTGTCCATTTGGGTGTCAGGGCAGGTCTCCTCGCTGTCCCCAGCATCACATTTATGGAATGGGTGAATACTGCAGCCTGTCAACGAGCCCCCTTCTCTAGGAGCAGCCCTGACGCGGAGTGTCCTGTCTACCTATTACCAAAGTTTCTTTGAGGAAGGTTTAAAGAGAGAGGTGGTTTAGTCAGCTGAGAGATGAAGATGAAGGTAAGGCAGGGCCCAGTTGCTGTGTGGCCAGCAGAGGAAGCAATTACAGGGGAGGAGGGGCTCACTGAGCAACCTTAGGACAGTCACTCTCTGGGCGTCAGAGTTTTCTCCTCTGTGAGATAAAGGGAGGAGACTAAGCAGTCTCCAAGGCCCTCTCAGTTCTAAGTGCTATAATTTCTAGGTACCAGAGAGGTTTCCAGTGCCCAGGGAGGCTTGCTGCTCTGTCTTCTCTGTGGCCCATGGGCCTAATTCATGACATAGACAGAAAGGAAGAAAGGAGGCCAATAACACTTGTCAAAGTACATCTGTGGACCCCTTGATTGTGAAACCGATTTCCTCCTTCCCCCCCAGGGCCATGCCTTTCCTGGGCCTCTCTCCGCTCCAGGGGGTTCAGTGGGAGGGCACTGCTGAGGAGGACGGAAGTTGGCCCACAACTGTGCTGGTCTGTGGCAGCAGAGAGCAAGACAGCACAGGCCTGACCTGCACAGAGGAAGAGGACCAGAGCTAACTGTGAAGATGTCCACATCCTGATAGCGGACAGAGGGGAAGCTGGAAACCATCACAACGGGGCTTGGAGAGGAAGTGACAGGGAGATAAATGAAGAGGAAGACAAAGAACTAGAGCCAGGAGGAGCTGTTAGGTGAGAACAAAGCTGGACCCCTGTCCCCCCAACCCAAAGGCTGCGGGTCAAGTATAGCAGTCCAAAATCTCACAGGGTTGATGCCCGAAGTAGACATCAAACAGGCCCCAGGCAAGGGGCAGCCAGTGCCAGAAAGCATCCATACCATTTGACAGCGTAAACCCACTTCCAGAAATGGCTTCTAAGAAAAGAATCTGAAAGGGGGCGCCTGGGTGGCTCAGTTGGTTAAGCAACTGCCTTCGGCTCAGGTCATGATCCTGGAGTCCCAGGATCGAGTCCCGCATCGGGCTCCCTGCTCGGCAGGGAGTCTGCTTCTCCCTCTGATCCTCCCCCTCTCATGCTCTCTGTCTCCCATTCTCTCTCTCAGATAAATAAATAAAAAATCTTTAAAAAAATAAATAAATAAAATGAAACAACCAAATTTATAAAAAAAAAAAAAAAAGAAAGAAAAGAATCTGAAGGAAGGAAAAGCGCAAAGATGTTTACCTGCACTATTTAATACATAGCTTTAAAATGTCCAAACGAGAGCACGCTCACTTGGAAAAAAAAAAAGTTAAGCAACCAAAATTACAATTATGAGGACAGTGCAGAGGACAGTGCAATCACATAAAAAATACTGTGAAATGACAGTAAATGAAAAAATTAATACATAAAACTGTACCCATGCTTTGATTACAGTGATATGAAAATGCAGCCCCTTAAGGATAAGGGCTGCACAAGAGACACTCAAATGACCAGATGGCAGGATTGCCTATGTGCAAGGCAACAATACCTGATTTTGATCATTAATGCTGTTAGAATGTCATTGTTTAAAAGATTTATTTATGTATTTTAGAGAGAGAGAGAGAGAGCACGCACAAGATGGGGGAGGGGCAGAGGGAAAGGGAGAAGCAGACTCCCCGCTGAGCAGGGAGCCTAATGAGGGGACTCGATCTCAGGACCCTGAGATCATGACCTGAACCAAAACCAAGAGTCAGAGGCTTAACCAACTAAGCCACCTACGTGCCCCTAATGCTGTTATAAATGTCACTTTAACAAACACAAAGAAGATAGAAAGAAAACAGACTAAAGAGTTTTTTAAAAAGAAAGGAAAATAGGAAAAAAATCGAACTTCTACATCCCAGGTTTTGGTAATTAGGGTCCTCTCCCACCTAACCCACATCAGAGACAGGCCAGCCAAGAGAATTACACCATTGAGATCCATCTCTGTGTTCGCTCTTGCCCTGGGCAGAAACTGCCCACCACCACCTTCCTACCCACTAGCCCTTACCCCTACAAACACACGCAGGCCCAAACCCAGGCCACAGCCCACCAGGCCTCCTCAGAAATGGGCATGGGGTGGGGGGTTCTTCGTGTCTGAGGGCTCTTATGCCAGATCCTGCCATGTCTTTCCATGAAGCATTTTTACCTTGCTGAAGTCAACTAAACATACTTTCCTGGATGCATCTTTCTACAAAAGATCTTCCTTTTTCTTTAAGTAGTTTAAATCAGCCTTTTCCAAGTGGGTCCCATGAAAAGTTGATGCTTGTTGCTGGTGAAACAGGTCTTGTGGTCAATTATCAGGGAGATGCCCCATCCCATAGTTCCTCACCCCAGATTCCCAAGACACATCAAAGACCCGAGGACAGGATCATAGACTAGCATTTCCCCATCTAGATCGCTTCTGTTGTGGAACCCGTATCAATCTCCTGCAGAATTACTACCAGTGTCTTAAATAAGTGGGGGACACTTCATTCCATACCTTAGTATGGACCAAGTAACCCAGGTGGGGTGCTGGGCTAAGTCAGTGGGCCTTAGGAGCCTGTTATACCCCTGTCTTCTGGACATCCTTGGCAGACAGCTCCCACCGGCCAACCCCTCCCTCCACAGCTCGTCTCTCTTCTCAGACCTGGAGACATCTGGCAGGGCAGGCATGCCCAGGAAAGTCAGCCCTGTCAATGCCAAGCCTCAGCTCCAGCTGCTTCTTCAAGCCTGGCTTTCAACCGTTTGTCAACCGTTTGTCAACCGTTTGTCAGCTGAAGCCAGCAGCTTGGGAGGCTTAACTGTAAATTCAGTCGGCTAAGGTATAGCTTATCTCATTGCTACAAACGACATCCTCTGATGGGCTTGAAAAAGTGTCTCAAAGTCAGAAAGCTATAAAATGCCACCAGTTCAACAAACAGTAGCTTTTCAAGGCACCATAACCCCTCCAGAAAGGAAGCACGGGACTACTTAAATCCCCTCCCGACGCAAACAAAGCTGTTTCTTGCCCTTGCCACACTCCCACTGTCAGAACCCATGACACAGACCTGAGCCTGGTGCTGGAGTCTCCATGGCTGATCCTGAGGATGCCACACAGGTGACGCACTCAGGCCATGGGCCGTGTGCGCCCGGGAGGCTGAGCTGAGTCAGTGTGAGTGCAGCTAGCTGGGTCCTGCCTGCCGCAGCTGGGGTGGGAGGTCTCTGCTTTGCATATCTGTAAGCAGCCTTGAGCAAGAGCAGGAAACATCTGGGCTAGAAATTCTTCCATGAATATGAAATGTAAGTGGAAAATTTCCAAAGGTGCTATAGGGCCCAGGTAATGCCAACTATCCACAGCTGCTGCGTGCTGAATGCAGTGTCCTGGCCCTGTTCACAGCCCTCCCCAAAGCAAGAAGCTAAAGCCGCTGCTGGCCCCAACGCGACAGTGCTCTTCAGCCGTCCTGACCGCACACAGAAGATGAGCCACAGCTTCCCTCTAATGACCAGACCCCTGACAGCCGAGCATAACGGGCCATACCATCACCTTGGGTGCTTCCATTTGAACCCCACCTCAGGCCTGGCCTGGCAGCCGGGTTCAATTCACCAAGGGGATTGTCTACGGCACAACCTGCCTTGCCTTCCCTCAGAAGGCCCCCCAAAGCAACCTCCCTGAAGGCACCCCAGGACTGACAGGGGAGGTGCTGAGCCCAGTTGCCAATAGAGTTCCTTCTTCCCCTCCTCCTCTAAAAGAGCCAAGGACAGAGACTCAGGGAGAGGAGACTCCTCGGTAGAGGAGCAGGCTTAGGATGAAAAGCCGGCATGTCTCGTCCCTCTCCTTCCTTTCTTCCCTGAAGGAAGCTGACATCACAAGTGCTGGGCAGCCTGACAGGCTCTACCAGAGCACGAGTGCATCAGTGCACGCGTGCGCGTGCACACACACGCCCGCACGCGCGCGCACACACCCGCACACGCACACCCTCCCGCACGTGCGTGGGCACACACACACCCGCACGCGCGCACGCACACACACACGCCCGCACGCGCGCGCACACACCCGCACACGCACACCCTCCCGCACGTGCGTGGGCACACACACACACACACACACCCGCATGTGCGCGTGCACACCCGCACACGCACACCCTCCCGCACGTGCGTGGGCACACACCCGCACACGCGCGCGCGCACACACACCCCCCCACACGCACACACACACCCCCAGAAAAGAAGGCTGTCCCTTCTGACCCACCCGAGCCCACCCACCCCGTCCTCTTCCTCTTACTGCCGCTCTTGACTCCCACGTGGGCCTCCAGCTCTGCGGAGCCTCCTGAGCACTGGTTGCGCTTGAGCCCCTGCCACCACAGCTGCTGCCCTCCCTGGGGACGGTGGCCCTGCCTCAAGTGAGCCACAGAAGCAGTCCTCTGAAAGCAAGGCTCAGGACCGATACAGTGACTTAGACAAATGGTGTGGGTCTGGGAAATAACCGTGAGCAAAATGGCTATTTCTGTGATGCTGTTGAAATCCTGGGGACAAGAGCCCAGAAAGGATGGGTCAGTTGTTTACCAGGAGGCCAGCGCTAGCCCCGACTTGGGCCTGAGTCACCTCCTCATGTCCAATCGTGAGATTGTGCCTTCCTGAGCCCTCATAATGATTCCTGTGTGTGCAGAGCAGGATTACAGGGTTGACACATAATCCTCGGGCTGCTGCTGGGCTTGAGCTACCCAGAGATTACAACCCACCTGTCTTCACAGCTGTTTCATACACAGCGCGATCAGCAAGCTACAAGCAACCTAGAGGGAGGGTAATATGTATTCATTAAATAATTAAACGGGGCGCCTGGGTGGCTCAGTTGGTTAAGCGACTGCGTTCGGCTCAGGTCATGATCCTGGAGTCCCGGGATCGAGTCCCACATCGGGCTCCCTGCTCAGCAGGGAGTCTGCCTCTCTCTCTGACCCTCCCCCCTCTCATGCTCTCTATCTCATTCTCTCTCTCAAATAAATAAATAAAATCTTTAAAAATAATAATAATAATTAAACGAACTTAAAGCATAGGGGGAAAAGGTCCAGGTCCTTAGTACCGTTCTGCCAGAAGGGAGGAGGGGCAAATGATTCCTTCTGCTGATATGTTTTGGGGAGGGGGAGGTACAACGGGGGCTGCAGTGGGAGCATCCTAGCCCATGCATCTGAGAATCTACCCAGATCCAGTTCAGGGAATTCTATTCTGCACCTGTCACCAGA